CGAAGAAGGTGATAAAGAAATGGCTCAGACAACAACCAATAAATGAGTTGAAGCAAAAGTAATAAAGGAAGAATCATGTTCGTTCCAAGGTTGCACGAAGAGTAACTACTCTCAACGATTATATGCCAAAGGATTTCAAGAGCAAGATAACTCAAACATCGAGCTCTTGCCTTAGCACTCATGAAAAAGACGTTGAGAGTTCAAATAGGGGTTTATCTCCAGTTTCGAATAAAGAGGCGATGGCTGGAGCACAAAGATCTACATCATACGCCACTAACATTGTCTTTAAGGACGAAGATCTTATGTTGGGTGCAACTCCCCATAACCGTCCGCTTTTTGTTGAAGGATACACTCGTGGACGAAGATTCAGAAGAATTATGATAGATCAAGGGTCTTCCGTTAAGATCTTAATGATTCGAGCTATGAAAGACCTTGATATATCAATGGATGAACTCTCTCAAAGCCACTTAATGATTCAAGGCTTCAATCAAGGGGGCAAAGGGCGATTGGAATGATACGTCTTGATTTGGTCATTGGTGGGTTGAAGGCAAGTACTCTATGTCACGTCATCGATGCAAAGGCTTTATATAATCTCTTAGGCCGTCCATGGATCCATGAGAATGGTGTAATTCCTTCAACGTGGCACCGATGCTTCATGTATGAGGAGAACGGTGTTGTAAAGAAGGTAGTGGCCGGTGAAACTCCATTCACTGAAGCCGAGACATACTTTGCAGATGCAAAGTTTTACCAAAAGGCCAAAGTTTCTAAAGAAGACGATATTAGACAAGAAGAAGAATATCACCCCTTCACTCAACCAAAGCTGAAAGGGAAACTTGTTGAAGGCGTAGAAGGGCATACATTCTCTCTTGCAAAGATCAAGATATCAAGGCCTCCCCAAGACACGTCTCAGGAAGAAAAAAAGCACAAGGATGATGTTAAGGAGTTTCAAATCCCTAAGGCACACACTAATGAAGGATTTGACCCAAATGCATACAAACTTCTGGCCAAGGCTGGGTATAATCCTAATGAACAGAAGTTAGGAAAACTCATTCCAGAAGCTGGTGGAGAGGGACCATCGAAGCAGATCAATCTTCGAGGACACACAGGGTTGGCTTACGTTCAGCCGAAACCCATAAGAATCCTTATAAATAGAGCCGCAACGCATCATATCAGTGCAGATGAAGAAGATGAGGTGACTTCTAAACCGAAGTATTCCGTCTTTGATCGGATTGGGGGGGGGGCAAAATTAAGACCTGCCATCTTTGATAGAATGGGGCCAAAGCCAAAGAAGATCATGAAGAAAACTTTACAAGAAAGGCTTGGAGTGATCCCATTCATGGTAAATCACATGGAAGACCCATGTAGTGGGCAAAACTTTGAGAGAAAGCCAGTACATGAAAGACTGGGGAAAGTTCGCTCATGCAAGAAGTCTCTCAACAAATATACAAAAACACAAGTTTTGAATGAATATAGAAGCTTGATTCCATCCCGAATGAGCCGAGAAACTAATGTGGAAGTCTCATGTGGAGAAACTCTCAAAGTACATCTGAAAGCAATTATTCATACTCGAATGACAGAAGATAATAAGTTCAGATATGATGAGCTGATTGATGATGAGGAATACATTGCTTCATCTTACCATATTACTTTTGGTGATGAAATCCCGGCCGAAGGTGAAGATGCTGATGAAGCTCCTCCAGAATTTGAAGAGGGAGTGCGAACAGCCTTGGATGAACTAAAAGAGGTAAATCCTGACACCGAAGAGGACCCTCGCCCCATTTATAGCAGTGCTCTTCTATCGAGCGAAGAAAAAGAAGAATATGTAGCCTTACTCCAAGAATACAAGGATGTCTTTGCATGGACATACAAAGAAATGCATGGTTGGATCCAAAAATCGTTGTTCATCACTTAGCGATAAAGAAAGGATGTCAACCAGTAAAGCAGGTTCAAAGGCGCTTCCGCCCAGATTTAATTCCATTAATCGAGGCCGAGGTTGATAAACTTATTGAGACCAGATTCATTCGAGAAGTGAAATATCCTACTTGGATATCCAACATTGACCCGGTCAGAAAGAAGAATGGACAAATCCGAATATGTGTTGATTTTCAGGATCTTAACCTTGCTTGTCCAAAAGATGACTTTCCACTTCCCATCATTGAATTGATGATAGATGTTGTGACTGGGCATGAAGTTATGTCATTTATGGATGGTTTCTCCGGTTATAATCAGATCTGGATGGCTCTCGAAGATGAAGAATTATCTGCCTTCTGAACCCCTAAGGGAATCTATTGCTACACGGTCATGCCATTTGGACTTAGGAATGCCGAAGCTACTTATCAACGAGCTATGCAGGCAATGTTTGATGATATTCTCCACAAAATCGTGGAGTGCTATGTTGAAGACCTCGTGGTGAAGTCAAAAGCCCGAGGCAATCATCTATCACACTTAAGAACAGTGTTTGATCGCTTGAGAAAGTTTGGTCTCAAAATGAACCCTCTGAAATGTGATTTTGGAGTTTTGGCTGGGAAATTCCTAGGGTTTATTGTTCGTCACAAAGGCATTGAGATAGAACAAGCCAAGATTGACGCTATTGCGAATATGCCGGAGACTCGGAACATTCATGAGTTGAAGAGTTTGCAAGGGAAACTGGCTTATATACGAAGATTCATCTCGAATCTATCGGGAAGATGCCAACCGTTTAGTCGGATTATGAAAAAGGGTGTACCTTTCATATGGGAACATACGTGTCAGAATGCGTTTGAAAATATCAAGGCTTATTTGATGAAACCACCGGTCTTAAATGTGCCTGTCGCTGGTCGCCCTTTGATACTTTACATTGCTGCTCAAGAAAGGTCCATGAGAGCTCTATTAGCTCAAGAAAATGATAAAGGGAAGGAGAATGCCCTTTATTATTTAAGCAGAATGATGACCCCACACGAGTTGAAGTACTTGCCCATTGAGAAATTGTGTTTGGCCCTTATATTTGCAATCAAGAAGCTTAAACACTACTTTGAAGCTCACACAATAAATCTTGTCTCCAGAGCAAATCCGCTGAAGTATGTGATGTCCAAAGTGGTTCTATCGGGTCATCCTGCTAGGTGGTACTTGATATTTCTACAGTTTGAGATTGTTTATGTCTCACAAAAGTCTGTAAAAGGACAAGCTTTGGTGGATTTCTTAGCCGATCACACAATCCCTGCTGAATGGGAGCTTTCTGATGACATACCTGATGAAGATGTACTCATAATTAAAGTTTTTCCTCCATGGAAGATGTATTTTGATGGAGCTGCACATAGAGAAGGTGTTGGAGCTGGTGTGGTCTTTGTTACACCCGAAGGTCAAGTTCTGTCATATGCTTTCACGCTTACGGAACAATGCTCCAATAACGTCGCTGAATACCAAGCACTCATTCTCAGACTTGAAATAGTTGTAGACATGAAGCAAACACGAGTTAATATCTATGGCGATTCAAAACTAATCATCAATCAAGTGCTTGGAATTTATGAAGTAAGGAAACCTGAACTACATCCTTACAACATATATGCAAGGGCACTCATAGGATGGCTTGGTGAAGTTACAATTGAACACGTGCCGAGAAAGGAAAACAAGCAAGCTGATGCACTGGTAGGGTTAGCATCAAACATGGCACACCTTGATGACGGAACTCCAGTACGGGTATGCCAAAAATGGGTAATTCCTCCATTCATCGGAGACGATGGTGCAGCCGAAGAGATAGTCGAGATGCCAACTACCTCAGTTTATGATATTGAAAATGAAGATTGGAGGCAGTCACTCATTGATTATCTCACTGATGGGAAATTACATGAAAATCCCCGCAAGAAAGTAGACTTGAAGAGGCGTTCACCGCGTTTCATCTACTATAAGGATACACTTTATCGGAGATCATTCGATAGTGTATTCCTTAGGTGTTTGGGTGGAGATGAAGTCTTACAACCAATGGAAGAAGCACAGTCAGGAGTATGTGGAGCTCATCAGTGTGGTCCTAAGCTGCACTTTCATATCAAGAGGATGGGATATTATTGGCCGACCATGGTAAGGGATTGCATGGACTATGCTAGAAGATGTCAAGCATGCCAATATCATGCAAATTTCACCCATCAAGCACCAGAGCCTTTGCATCCGACAGTAGCATCATGGCCATTTGACGCTTGGGGACTTGACGTGGTTGGACCAATCACGTCCAGCTCATCAGGAGGGCATTCATATATACTAGCCGCTACTGATTACTTCTCAAAATGGGCCGAAGCAGTTGCATTGAAAGAGGTGAAGAAGGAAAATGTTGTTGATCTCATCCGAGTTCATATCATCTACCGCTTTGGCATTCCCCGATATATCTTGACGGACAATGGGAAACCTTTTGACAACAAATTGATGGACAAGATATGCAAGTTATTTGATTTCAAGCAACGGAAGTCCTCTATGTACTATGCTGCCGTTAATGGCCTCGCTGAAGCTATTAACAAGACTCTATGCAACCTGTTGAAGAAAGTAGTGTCAAAATAAAAAAGGGATTGGCACGAAAGAATGGAAGAAGCATTATGGGCATATAGAACGACTTATCGAACACCTACCCAAAGCACTCCATATTCTTTGATGTATGGTACTGAAGTTGTCTTTCCCCTTGAGCGCCAAATACCATCTCTGAGATTGGCTATTCAAGAAGGACTCACTCATGAAGAAAACGTCAAGCTGCGGTTGACAGAACTCGAGGCACTTGATGAGAAGAGGTTAGAAGCTCAGCAGAACCTAGAATGCTATCAGGCTCGTCTGTCGAAATCATTCAACAAAAGGGTTAGAATTCGTTCATTCCCAGTTGGCGATAAAGTTCTAGCTATGAGAAGACCTATCATTATCACACGAAAAACGGGGCACAAATTCTCACCTAAATGGGATGGTCCTTATGTTATTCAAGAAGTATATTCAGGCGGTGCCTACAAGTTGGTCGATGGAGATGGCTCAAAGATTGGCCCGATCAATGGAAGACTTTTAAAGCTCTACTACCCTTGATATTTGGGGTATGGATATGGCCATAAGAAATGTTGAATGGCTTAAACCACCAATGATGTTGTAAGTGGCTAAACTGCTAAAACACCTCACTTTGTCTATGGGTGAGCATAATCATAGATACTCTTGGCCCACGAGAGTTTAAAATGTGTACGGCAAGCTCTTGGCCCACGAGAGTTTAAAATGTGTACGACAAGCTCCTGGCCCGCACGAGTTAAAACTGTGTACGGTCCCTTCAAATTACCAATTCAAATGGTATGTATGAATTACGTTTGACTTGATCTCCTTCATAGGAGTACATAGGCAGCTCAAAAGTCTCCTTTTTGAGTTCAGTTATAACAAAATAAATCCCAATTAAGTCATTTTGTCAAAGAGAATATCAGAAGAAGGCTTACGAAAAAAGACAAATGAGCGGCAAAGGCATAGGGAATTCTTTAATCCCCTCCTCTTCGGAAGTAGATTGAGTTGAGCTTTGAACGACATCTCCACAATGGAGCAGGTGGCGCCGACAACGTGTTTCTTGAACTTTGAACGACGCCACCATCTCAACAACGGAGCAGGTGACGCCAACAGCAGTAGCATTGATGGCGCCTCTAAAGCTTTGAACAACACCATCATCTTCTTCACAATGACAAAAGGCAACACCATCGTTTGAAATCTACAAAACCGCTTCAAGCTCCATGAAATTTCTCTCTGCTGCATCAACAAAGCTCTAGCTAGCATCTGCTCCAACATCTCTAACCATTGACCTCCAACGTCAATCTCCTTAATGACCATGGGGCCACCATCCCACACCACTTCAGTCTTCATATTGGCAAAGTGGCTGATCTTCACACCGACAAAATGGTCGGCCTTCAAACTGACAAAATAACAAGTCTTCAAACCGACGAAGTGGCTGGTCTTCACACTGACAAAATAGTCGGTTTTCGCACCAACAAAATAGCTGATCTTCGCATCGACGAAGTGGCCGGTCTTCGCACCGACAAAATAGCCGATCTTCAAACCGACGAAATGGCCGATCTTCACAGCGACAAAATAGCCGGTCTTCGCACCAACGAAATGGCCGGTCATCGCACCGACAAAATAGATGGTATTGAAATCGACGAAATAGCGAGTCTTCACACCGACGAAGTGGCCGGTCTTCATACACACAAAATAGCGGGTCTTCAAACCGACGAAGTGGCCGGTCTTCACAACGGCAAAGTAGCTGGTCTTCCGTATCCTCTTGGTAGTAGATACTCCAATGGGTTCTCATATCCCACATTTTTTTTGTATTTTATGTAAATACACAAAAAGGGGGGAAATCCTAAATAAGCCCAATATGGAGTATTAAATAAAACCCAATAGAACAGCCGCCCCATCTCTCGTATTATCTGCTGTCATCTTCTTCATACGGAAATAGGGAGTATGAGAATCGCAGCTGGTCAGGGACGGACATTACACAAGGAAGCAGCGGCAACATCTTGATGCTTTACATAGGACGGAATCAGCACCTGACGGAACCGACCACTGACAGTACGAGCAACGGTGACTTCTCAGCCTTGCCATCTTCTAAAAACGACAACACCTCCTCCCTCCGGTGAATAGCGTCAGCAACAAAATCAGACCTATCATCTTCTCAGGCGGTGATTTTCGACCAGCGACCACCTTCGGTCTCAGGCGGCAATAGAAAACGGCGTTCCAATCTGCGAACAGCAACTCCTCCCAGGATTTAGAGGGCGAGCTCTTTCCTTCCTCGGTGCAGGTGAATTAAACCCAAAAAATCCATATTTTGGTGCTCTTCTTAGCGAACAATTGGACAGAAACCGACGACGAGGAAGGAGTGGCAGCTACAGGACAATGGTCTCTGTAAAGCTTCGGCCTAAAACAGTGAATACCACAGCGGCTCCTCCTAAATTCGGAACGCCGGTTTTCTTCTTCCTCAATTCAAGCGCCCACCTACGGGTTGGAGCTGCTCTCCCATATTACTTGGTGAAGAACAGGGGTGCAAATAGAAAGTCTCCAAGTTTTTTTTCACGGTTAGTTTGCCTTCGAGATATTGCCCTGCAATACACAAATAAAAGAAGAATAAGGAAAAAAAAAGTTACCTGCTATTGGCTTTGCTTCCAGAAATCTTTGACAGCTATGGATCTCAAAATCGATGGTGCGTAAGAAAATAAGATGTGGGTTGATATTTAAAGGCAACAATGCGATAAGTTTGGTTCTCAAATCAGGCAGATTAAGTCCTAATAGAAGAGAAGTTCTTCAAGTTAGAGCACAATTTGGAATCTCCTGCTAAATGTTCGGCATGATTAATAGATCCCGTTTAAAGTTTGGGTAAGAGCTGGATTTAGAGTCCATTGTAAATTGGCCTCTCTTATTTCAATTCAAAAAATTGGGAGTGCATATTGAGCCCCATCACATGTTCTTTTAGGCCTATTAGAAATAATAGGATTTTAAATCCATGAGTTGTGTTGACCTTGCCTACGAATTTAAATTTATTGTACAAAATGGGTATAACTTTGATCAACAAGTTAATATTCGACACTTACTTGTTCGCGGTGATAAAATTGATACATCCAAGCAAGTCTCGAGGGGGCATTTGTGGACATGTAAATTTTATTGGGCCTCTTTTGAATTTATTGTGCCAACGTCAGATTCTACTGGACTATTTGTAAATGGTTGTTGGGCTTTATCAAGAAGAAAATATTACTCCCTCCGGTCCCTATTAAAGTTCTCAGTTTGACTTCACACAGATTAAGAAAATAAATTTGACTTTACTGTGAAGTGCACTGTTTGACACTGTTTGGACACTGTTTGACACTGTTTGACATTGTTTGGCACTGTTTTGTTTCCTATAATGGAAGTGTGAACTTAAATAAGGGACATCCCAAAAAGGAAAGTGAGAACTTTAATAGGGAACGCAGGAAGTAATATGGATCCATTAATTTTGGGATTGAATTAATTCGGGTCACCTAAATATCCGATTAATTTAATTAAATCCTTAAAAGAATGGATCGATCCTATTAATTTCTCTATTTTGAGCCTATTATCAAATAGCAGCCCAATATAGAAGAGACATGATCCAATTGATAAAGAGAGCAATGAATCCAGTCAAGAAATCTATCCAAATGCATGAGAAATGGCTGTGAACCTTGTTAAAAGGCTGTCCAGATACATTATATAAGTGCTGATTATTCTAGCCATTAAAATGCAAGCAAATAGAGTCCGAAGCCCATTTTAATTGAGACTCAAGGGGTATGGACGAATTTGTTAAACCCTAAAGCATATTTTCACCCCTCTCACACCTATAAATAGGGGTCTCAGATGAGAGGAATGGGAAGAGAATTTTCAGACGAAGAAACGCTGCAGAAAAGCTCTCAAGAACTCCCGAAAGGTTCTGAACGATTCCGAAGAAGAGGAATAGATCAAGCCATGAATTTTATTAAGAATATACGAATAATCCTTCGTGATTTCGTCGATTCTTAATAAAATAAATCCAAAAGTTGAAGAACGTTCGATGATATGAAGAACAAAGCTTGAAGATTCGAAGATCTGAAGAACAAGACTTTGAAGATTTGAAGATATGAAGAACGAATCATTGAAGATTTGAAGATACTCATACGAAGATTGAATTGAAATTCAAGCCATATATCCCGGGAGGCCCTTAAACAAAAGATCAAGCCATAAAACGGCCCTTTTGTTGAAGATTAAGCCACTTGAAAATCGGAGGCCCTTCAAGTTGAATTCTTAATTCAAGAAGATGTGAAGATCCGACGAACGAAGATTCGATGATTCGAAGATCTCAAGAACGAAGATTTAAAGATCTGAAGAACGTCGAACATTGGAAGGATTAAAGATTTAATTTTGAATTAATTTCTTTAATTATATTAATGTCAAATTGCAAGTGAAGAATCAGAGGATTCATATTTAGAGATTGTACCCCATATTCTCACATATTATTATTTGCGATCAATTTTAAGTGAATACTTAAAATTTGTTTCACAAATACAATGTGACAATAAAAGTAAGAGTAAAATGCATAAATGGTCCTTGAACTATCATCACCATATCGTTTTGGTCCTCGAACTATTAAATTTATCATTCGAGTCCTTAATCTATTTAATCTATATTAATCGAGTCCTTTCGTTAAATTTGCCGTTAACTTTAACGTAAGCCAATTAATTTATTAACATTTCATAATTTTAAACATTTTGTAACAATACAATCATTCTTAAATTGAAGTAGCTAATCTAGTTTGTTTTTAAATATACATATATAAACAGAGACACATATAAAAATTATAAATAAATAATATAAAATCAAATGGACGGCCTAAATAGTACGCAGTATATAAGAGAGAATCAAATAATCAATTATATACATGTGAGCAGATAAAATTAAATCAGAAAACGAGGGTGATTGTTATTATTATTAAGAAATAATGGCAGGGAAATTACCTCCGGTGCTTTCATTTCCATATCTATGACACTTTTTGTCTTTTCCAAAAAAGTAACTCATTTCAAATGAGTGGCTTAAATAAAACCCCAAAAACAAATAAAACCCTACCACAATGCATCAGGAAGACCATCAACTGCTTCACCTCTCCTCTGTCCATAGATCTGCCGCTGCTGCAGCTCACCCGGCCGCCGCCGCCGTTGCAGCTTACCAGACCGCCGCCGCTGCAGCTTACCCGACCATCGTCGCTGCAGCTCACCTGGACGCCGCCGCCGCTGCAGCTCATCCGGACATCGTCGCTGCAGCTCACCCGGACACCGTCGCTGCAGCTCACCCGGACGCCGCCTCTGCAGCTCACCCATCCGCCGCCTCTGCTCTCAGTCGTCCACCGCCTCTGCTCTCACTCGTTTGCCACCTCTTCTCTCACTGGTCTGCCGCCTCTGCTCTCACTCGTCCGCCGCCTCAGATCTCATTCGTCCACTGCCTCAGATCTCATCCGTCCACCGCCTCAGATCTCACCTGACCGCCGCCACTTCATCTCTCACTCGTTCGTCGTTGGTTTGTCCCTCAGCCCTCGGTTGCCGCAGTTTCATTTTCATCTGTCGACCACCGTTGCTTCACTTCTCAAGCCCCACCGGACCACCGCCTATCTCTTCTCCTTCATTGTCTATTCCAGCGCTGCCCCTATGGCAACTAATTGACGGCGAAGCTTCAGATTGACGGGGGTAAGGGTTCTGGGCTAGCCAATGGGCAGGGGAGGGGTCTAGGGGTTGGGATGGGGTGTGGGATAGGAGATGGAGTCTAAGGATGGGGCTGAGGCTAGAGAGGGTGCAAGGGATGGTGTTGGTGCGGTTGGCCTTTGTAAAGAGATGATTGTAGTCACTGACGATTGACGATAAGGGTGGTCACCGTTGGGTGGAGCCACTATTGGGTGGGCGGACAGTCACTTTGGCAGGGTGGTCACCGTTGGGTGGAATCACTGTTGGGTGGCAGTCACTGTGACGTCGGAGTCACTTTGGCCGGAGTCACTATGACCGGAGCAACGGCGGCGCCAACTACGACGGCGGCGGTGGTGCCGGCAGCGGCGACGGGATCGGCAGTCAGGTGCGGGTGGCTGCAAAGGAATATTATTAAAATAATAAATGTATGATTAAATAATAGGAATAAATGACTTTTTGTCACTGTTTTTGGAAAAATTTAAAACAAATCACATTTTTGTCTTTTCATTCATTTTAGTAATATTAGAATAAAAAGGCCTATTATTAATTATATTAAGAAAAAAAATTAAAACTAGGTATGACTAAAGCTTATCTACTTTCTCAGTACATGACCTCATTAGCCCCCCCCCCCCCCCCCCCCCCCCCCCGCCCAAAAAAAAACAATACGCCGTATTTAAATTCGTAATATTTAATAAAATAAATACATAAATAAATAAATTTTATGAACTAATTTGCCCTTACATTTTTTATCAGAATATACTATTAGATTGATATTATAAAGAGTTAATGTCTCAAATAGGAGTAATAGCAAAGTTAATTGCACATATAGGACTGTCTACGGAAGTGAAGTTTCATAGGACTTAATTCAAGATAGTTGGACAAAAATAACCCTTCTTTATTTTTGTTAATTTAAAAAATGCAAAATTGGAAAACTATTGAAACGGTAAATTGTCAACTGCCGGCAGTAGCACTGCCGCCGTCGAAGCCGGAGCCGCCCTTGCTACCCTCACTGGCACTGACTACCGCCACCCTCACTGGCACCGCCAGCCCATGTCCTTGCCGACGTCTCCTATCGCCGCCCTCATCGGCGTTGTTGCATCCTTGCTGGTGCATCGTCGCCATCCATCACCTCCCAACCAGCGTCACCATACGCCTCTGCCGCCGCCATCCTACCATCGTCGTTGCCACCTGTGTTAAATCCGAGGCCACCACTTCACCTCCGAGCACTGCCGTTGCCGTCACACCCCACTGCCAAAAATATGCCATTAAATTGGAAGATTTGGCCTTGAGATTTTACCTTCAAACCTGTCTTTAAAACAAATTTTCAGATTTACCATAATGATGGCAGATTTATGTTGACCGATTTACACAAAACTGCCATAATCTTGGCAAAATATGAAATCCACAACTAAATTTCTAAAAAACCAAAAATTTAACAGAGCAATAACTTTAACAAATTCATATCAATAACACATAAGAAGTGAATGACAAAAAATAAAAAAATGGATTTTCACAGAAAATGTTTTGCCATAATATATGATTGGCAGATTACATTTATGCCATAAACTTGGCAAAATTGTATGCCATCATCCAAAAATCTGCCATAAATATGGCAAAATCGTATGCTATCATCCAAAAATCTGGAAACTGGAATTTTTCAAAAAATCAGTAAATCAAGAAACGGAAATTTCAAACAGAAGTCCAAAAATCAACAAAATCAAATGACAAAACTAAAAAAATAGAGGAAGGAAGGAAGGAAAAATTAGAAAAAGTAATTTCAAAGCCAAAAATATGAATAATTGGTGGAGGAGGAGGTAGAAGAAGAAGAAAAAGAAGAAGAGAAAGAAGAAGAAGAAGAAATCTGACCAAACTGCGACGTGCTGGCGGTGGAGTCATCGACATCGGCGGCAACTAGGGATGAAGTTGTTGATGAAATCGATTTGAAACGCAGGCAGAAGAAATCGATCGATCTGATGACAAATAAGAAGAAGAAAAGAGATGGTAGCACAAGGGAGAGAAGCAATCAGTCGATCTGATTTGCGGTGCGATGGAGAGAAGCAATTGATTGATCTATTTTGTGGTGCGATGGAAAGAAGAAAAAGATTGATCTGTTTATGGGGTGTGGATCATCGACTAACAAAGCAGGGGCAATTTTGTACGGGTAAAATCCGTATGTTTTAACATAGGATTAATATAGTCCTATTGAGGGAAAGAAACATAGAAGATCCTACTTAGGAATTTTAAGAGTTTTTTAGTCCTATATGGGACAATTTCTTTATTATAAAACTCTAACTTCCTACACTTTCCTAAAAACCACATCGTCGCGGCACCTGATGCCCACATCGCCGCGACACACACCTCCCATGAGTAGAAAGTTAGGGTTTTATAATATCAATCTAAGAGTATATTCTGGTAAAAAATGTAAGGACAAATTAGTCCATAAAATTTATTTATTTATTTTAATAAATATTACGAATTTAAATACGGAGTATTTGGGGGGGGGGGGTGCGAACCTTTTCGGGACGGGGGTCGTATTATTTAGGCCGTACATTTGATTTTATATTGTTTATTTATAATTTTTATAGGTGATCTTGTACTTATATGTATATTTTAAAAAAACTAGATTAGCTA